TCACGTCGCGTGATAAATCAACATTGAATAATCTAATTTTTTTTACACTTGAAACTTATCGTTCAAGAGTTACAGTGTTTTTTAATTCCTGTAATTACAATTCATAAAAGTCGTTGATATCAGGATTATATCAGGTTAATCCTTTTGTTATTTTTAGAAATTTTTTTTTAACTTATGCGAAGAAATGTTGCGGTTTCTTATGAATCAAAATTGAACTGCAGTGCAAAAATAATCAAAAAAGTATTCTTAAAATATCTGATTATTATGACATTTTTAACGACATTCGATTTAATTAAATAATATCGCTTTCCAATTATTTTAGCCACCGTATATACATATATACACGAAAGAACAAAATTTTCTTCCACCGTCCATAAATTCGCTTTCGTCGAGGGGAGTCGTTCGTGAATGGTTCGATCGGCAGACAGGCGCGAAAGCTCATCGAAAGGGTGTGTTAGTGGTAATATTTTTACGCGTAACATCCGCTCGGATACGTGGTTAACCTTGCATCGTTCAGCTACAAATGGAGGTGCAAGAGGTTAAAAGCGACGCGCGTTTGCACGTTCCAGGTGGAGCTTGGCTATTAAAATTAGTGAGAGTAAGCTAACAGTAAAATGTGGGGATTCTGATATGAATCATTGTGTTTCTTGTTAATAAAGATTATAATAAAAAATAGTGCTAATTTTTATACAAAATATATAGATATATTCACTCACAAGCTTTCGATGAATTCTGTATTGATATTGAAAACATTTCTTGAAAGAAAGTTGAATGAAAAATTGAAAGGATTTATGTAAATTATTATTAGTTGCCGAACATGCAACTAAAAATAGCTTCGTTATCTGATTGACTTTCACAAGCTATAAAAATGTGAATGATCACTGTGATTAATAAACATGCATAATTTGTTTCGAAATACCATCGAATTTTCAGTATCTAATTTTTTTTTAATATTATATAATATTATCTTAAATTTCAAATTTAAAATTTTCCTATTAAATATTATCCATAATTAAAAAAAATAAATATTATGGCATTATCCTCTTTTTACAAAATTTCATTGCAAACAGTTATTTATGCAACGCTTTATGAAAACACATAAACAATCGACCGATCTTCTCTTCCATATTTGTTTCAAAAGTCGTACACTATTACAGGTACGATGATGAGTCCAGAAAATGCATCTTTCCTTTTGCGAATTCAAAGAACCGGTTCCATTTTATTGCATATTACCATCGATATTAAAATACGGTTACTGCATCCATGTAACCCGAAGAATCGCTATAACCGATGACTCGATGATTCGTCATCGTGCACGAGGCAAAGTTTGAAAGAAAATCGGTGACACGATATATTTCTTTTCCTTCTCTTTTTTTTATATCTTTTATCTTCTTCTTTTTTTATCGTTTCTTTCGACCGTAGAAAGTAAAACCATAGGATATCTCGAGTGTCCTCGAGAACATTCGTCGTCTGACACAGATTCGCAAGTTTCAGCTTGACCGTCTTCACGTATCTCTTTTCGAAAGGATTTCCATGGCCCACGGCCAACGATTCGACTCGCGTAGAAAGCGGATTTGCCGATCGTGAGATTCTGACAGGTCTCTTTCTTGTTAAAAGATTATGTCCTCCTCTTTGAATTTAGTCACGACACGTGAAAATGTTGTTCTTCTGGACGGGTGGAATCGTCGTGAGGATGTAACGCTTGATAAATATGGATTATTGTATAAGAAGTGGATTTTACGTTCGAAGAACGTATCAATAGAATTGTAAAATGAAATACGAAATTCAATTCTATTCCTAAAAAACAAAAATTTTAATGGATAACTATTTATCTTCAAATTTTTATTTGTTTATGTGCTCAACAAAACCTATATTTATTATGTAACGATAAGTATCTAGTATAGAATAATACGAAATTATAATAAAATATTCCATTAATGTAACTATTGAAAAGATTGAAAAAAGTATCAGACATTACAAATCATAGAGACATATCACGTAATCTTTCCGTAATAAAAGTTAGAAAACTTCAAAAACACGATATAAGATATAATAAAGCACGTATAAATTTAACAATCGAAGAACCCATTCGTAGTTAGTAGCTTTCCGTTCGTAGTTAGAGAATAAAATGAGAAGACTGGAAAATGCCATCGGCAATAATGCGAATCGTCATTTAACATTTCCATTTATTTTTCCTTTTTTCGAACCTTTTTTTATATTTTTCTCAATCACTCCCATACAGAGAATTATCGCATTTACAGAAATTCCTTTTAAGAATATTCTGCAATATCCAGCCTCAACTTCCCCCTATCTTCGATAACTTCCAACCGAGGACAGGAATACAAGACTTCAAAACGACTATACGACTCTGTGCAGCGGTAGTAATCGGCTAGAGAAGAGCATAACTATTACACATCTCTTATATCCCCCTTACATTACAAGCACAAGGCAAAGTTTCGCAGAAATCGAACACGTCTGGTGGACGTTCCTCGTTAGTAAGCCACAGTGGCAACAGAATGTTTGTGCAATCGTTCGTAGTAGTCGGCGATAATTACAATTTCTTACCTCTTAACCGATTCCTCCGCGAGGTATGAGACGTTGAATGAATGGTTGGAGAATGTATTCCAGGAACGTGGAACGTGGTTTTTCTTCCTTTCTTTTCTTTTTTTTTTCTTTTTTTTTTTTATGAAGAAGAACGTAAATGTGTAACAAACAGGCAAAAAGACAGACCTGAACCGGTGAGAATTTTCATCAACAGACTTACATTCCACCTTAAATGAACCAAATCTAATGCGATCATTCGCCTCGATGAGAATCGTGCCACGATCTAAAAGGCACAACTTGTCCCTGCTGTTTAACCGGATTATCGTCGTGATATTTATGCAGCATACGAGAAAGAATGTTGTATTTCTGCGAGACGATGTTAGGTATTAATTGAGAAGGTAAACTAGATCGAAAATGAAAGAGGCTGGTAATGGAATTAGAGCAAGGATATAAAAGTTTTTCAATTTTTTCTTAAGTAATAAATAATAAATAATTGAATAAATAAATAAATAATTTTATTTTAAGAGTCCACTTATTGTTGCAAAGAAATTTTGATAAAGGAACAATTGCTATTAGAGACTAATACGAATTCTTTCTTCTTCACAACATTTTTCTTTTATCAAAAGGAATTAAAAGAATTCTATCTATAGATATTATTATTAATAATGATAAATGGTATTAAAGTAAATCACAAATGATTACCATTGGCAACCAAGAATAGTTTAATAAAACAAAGATATTTTGCAATAATACGGAAAATTTATGAAATTTTTAGAATCGATGAAATAGATAATTATTATATTAAATTCTATGTAAAAACTTTGTAAAAATTTACTAAAAAATTAATATTAGATTTCTTAAAATCTTTCCTTGTATACCTCTTCAGGATATGCTTCAGGATAAACGCTGGTAGATTTATGCAAACTCACGGACCAGGATATGGTTGTTCGTCTCGTCCCGAGAACTTCAAGAACGAACAATGTTCGTTCGAACGTGGGAGAATCGCGGAAATTGTAGATGAGACGTGCTTAGCCTGCGAGAATTAACGCGGCCGGTGTGAACTTGTACCTATGTATGTAAAATATTACACAGAAAACGATCCACGGTATCATTGGAGTCATTGTTATCGCGTGTCTCTGATCTCTATGAAACCGGAAGTGATCGAACACGAATTAGATGCGTCTAGAATTAATCGATGATTGAATTTCTCGAATAATTTATCGACTGAAAGGAAGTATTAAATAAAAAAAAAAACAAAAAGCATGTATATAAGGAATAACGATATGTAAATGATGTTTCCTAACATCTTTTTAAACACGATTTCCATTTGTAACAACAAGTAAATTCTCTTTCTTATCATAATTATTCATTTATAAAAATCAAAATTCTCTTAATTTTCATAAGAAATTAAAAATATACGTTAAATATGTTTGATAATTCATTGAGTTAAAAAATAATATTTATCAAAACAACCGAAATCAACATAGCTCGATTGAAAAAAATTTTATTTCAAATGGAATAATAAATTACCTAAAAGTAAAATAATAAACTATGAATTATATTAATAGAATTCTCGCAAAATAAAATAATTTTGTTAAAACAAGTATTTTCACGTCACGTTCGTGAAACTACCAATTATAAACGGCAATATCATCGCATTATCCTCGCGTAATCTACGCGATTGTCACACGACAATCGTCGATCATCGCATAAATACAATCTTGTTTAATGAAATCCAAACCTAGCGCGTGTTCGAAAATACGATGTCGAAAATCGATTTCTATGCAAACGTTGATGGAAAAAGAAAATAAGAAGAAAAAAAAAAGAAAAGAAAAAGAAAGAAAAAAAGAATGGAAAACAAGAGGTACAATACGTTCAGCGTGGGAGAATCATAGGAAACGAAGTGTGCACAACGTGCAGGAAACAACAAAGAGGAAGGACAATCGACATCTGTTCCATGGTGAATTGGAAACCCTAGCCATCAACTTCAGAAGGGCAGGTTCCCATGACCGAAAGGGCAGGTATATACGAGGTCAAGTGGTCCTTGATGGAAGACTTTTTTGAAGAGCTTCCAGATTTTTTTTGCAATTATATATCGATTGGAAAAGACAGCTTCCATTATTTTGTGTGTATTCGATTGAATGCACTCTATATGATTTTCAAATTAGAATATATTATAAAATTTTATTATACGTTAATTTTTATCTTATAAATTGAACTTGAATAATAATTTATTCTTTTAATAATAATATGATATTATTTAATTCGTTTATTTCATCAAAAGAAAGATTTATAGATTAATATCTATACTTTATTATTCATATATATTTTAAAATATTTTGTAATTATTACGAAAGATTTAAATTACTTTTGTTCGAAAAAATAATGGACATAGTTATCGAAATAGAATTATATATATATATAAAAAATAAGTACTTAACTTAATGTCTATATACCTTATCGTTATTCATTCCTAAAATATTAGAAATAACGGCAATCTGTAACATATAAAACAGAAATCATATTGTTTTAGTACTTTCTTGTTTTATTATATGCCATTAATGTATATTACACATGAAAACACATACGTAACTATATACGTACAACAGATACATACGATGTACATATACATGTTTTGGAAACATCTGTTATCCAAAACAGTACCTTTTCTCTATATATTTAATTCCATCCATTGATCACGATTTAAAATTTTAATAAATAGTAGAATAGTACACATTACAGGTGAATCGTTATAATAGAACCACGCACTAATTACATCCTACTTGAAATCATTAACCTAGCTTCCATTGTACCATTGTACTCCGTTTTTAACAAAGTTCTCAAATGGTATCTCAAATGCAATGTAAATTCTCTTAAGGAATAACATATTTAGACAATTAACCAAGCTATTATACATATATTATACATATATCAATGCAACAAGTATTAACGAATACGTATAGTTTTAACATATTATCATTACATCGTCACATAATGACAAATTTAATTATATAATAATATTCTAATGTTTTAACATTAGAAGTCGAATCATATGGAATATTAATCTATATATATTTGAGAAACTATAATTGTATCTATATCTAAAGTTAAATATTCTTCGTTAAATGTAGAAATTAAAGATGTATAAAATAATAATGTAATTCATCGAGTACTTTTAACATTTAATAGTTTTACTTTTAATAAATTCAAATTTATTATTTTATACATTTATGGACATCCCTTCTTCAATATTCTTAAGATTACTTATTCTTAACTTGTGTAACATCTCGAAACGGTTTATTCAAGCCACGACAAATGAGCAAGAAAAGTTACAACGAGCGAATGGATAATTTTATTTGCAAAAGAGCAACTCACAAACTCATGACACGTGCTCTGCGGACACGAATATCTACCCTTACACGAATAAAATTTACCCTAGGGACGTATCGTAATTATATCGTTTCGCGCTAATGATTGCTTTGTGCATATGCAATTAAGGAGACGCATTAAATATGCTCGTAAGGAGAAACGATTAATGTATACCGTTCAGCTATGTTGCTTCCAGCTAAAATGGCACGATCTTACTTTTTTTAATGGATCGACCCATTATTCCAAATGGATATCATAATTCTGCTCTTATCTTGGAATTCATGATTAATCATAAGAGATGCTCTAGTAATTTTATCAAGTAGATCATAATGTTTAGATTAATAATTTGATCAGCTATTATCGTTATTAAATATAAGCTCGATGTTGAACATTTAATGGATAGAAATTTATCGATTGAATGTGATGAAGTGTAATGGAAAATCTGATAAAAATATGATATTTAAAATATATATTAGATATATTTTTATTTTATGGAACATTGGATAAAGTTACACGGATGGTTAATATTAAACAGAAATGCTTTCTTCGTTTTCTTTCTCGCGTTTACATAAAAGAAGTTAGTTTGTAAAACTAATAACGGGAATCGTGCTAAAAAAAGAAAAAGGCAACGACGATAATACTCAAGGAACAAAGAAATGAAATCACAAATGTTTACTCGCGAAAAGCGTATAATTAGAATGTTACACCGCATTAAAACGTTCGTAGAACTGTATAATTAGTTTACTCGTTAATTATGCGAGGATCGCACGACCGAGATTCAACGGATAAAGAGCATGTATTACAGCATCTGACGAAAGTTTGAAAGAGGTTTCGGTCTTCTTGAAAATATTTTCGAAACGCATGCTTTTCATAATACGCCGCATAATTACACATTTCTTTATTCCGCTTAATTTCATCCGTTATCGTCTAACCGCTAACATTACTCGTAATCTTTTCTGCGGGCCTAAAATGCAACTTCCACGTTGATGAGCGTGACTTATTGTATTATAACGTTAATATTTTCATGAGAGATGTGCATATCTTGCGAATAGAAATATTATATAATTATTAAAATTAGATTATAGGATTTGTACGAAGGAAATATTTTAATTAAAAATAGCAACAATTTTATATTTTCTGATAATAAAAATAAAAATCTAGAGAAATAAATGAAATTTTAGCAGCATCTTGTATAAATTCAAGGAAAAAAATATTTTATCAATCCATTAATGTTTAAGTATTGAATTAATACCTCCATTTCCGGAATGATACATGTATTAATATTCAACGCTGTTTAATTTCCTAATAAAATTTCTTTCTATCTTCTACAATAGATATAATTTAACGGATAAATAAATTTAATTGCATTATTAAATGCTAATATCCTTTATATAAAAAATAAAAAATATTCTATGTAACATGATAAAATAAATTCCATATGTTCAAAATTAAATAAAAAAAACAAAAAGAAAAAAAATAATAATAAACTGGATTCGATATAAAGCAAGCAGAATAATTAATTTGCTCAACGAATTAGCGCCAAAATCAATAGCGCCTTTCGATGAACCCCAGTATATAATACCTATTTCCGCTATTGTCCATAACATCCCCATAAAACTTTGCCAATAAACGTTTGCATGAGCAATTAAAATGTTCCTTTTTATCGCCGCTAAATCCATCCCTATCCAAACGTGACCAAAGCCGACATCGACGCGCCTAGGCAGCCAATTCTTTTT